CGCAATCATCCAAAAGCATGTTCTTCAAGTTGATGGCGAGGAGCAAAGACTGAAGACGATGCATAATAGACGGAACAAAAGCGTAAGAATAAAATGTACTGCAAGATATAGGAGACATGATTACTTGACAAAGTTCAGGAGGCAATTCAACAGATGTATTCCTCGGATCTGCAAAGACAACAAACAGAGGATCAATTCATGTTAATAAATGTGATTCTTCCAAAACTTTGATAGCTTTCTCAGTTCTGCTAAGACACCATAAACAAGAATTAATAACATAAATTGAATATGATACTTTCAAAAGTATTAGATAAAAGAGTAGGTCGATCAAAAAGAATTTCACTTAATTCCAGAAGAGATATTATCAATCTGAGCATGCCAAAAAAATATAGGTTAATCTATATCTTTTATCTGGTGCGCCAACTGCCAAGTAAACTCATCCTGCACATTTCTCTCCAGTATTTTTAGTCTATCAAATTGTCACAAACAAATGATTGCCAATCCCAATTATGTGATTCAAATTTTAATTTATTCCAGACACATTTGAAGTGCAATCCAGGCAATTCATGTTTTTTGGCATCAGTAAAAATTCCTGAAGGTTATAATTTTGGTTGAGTATCAGACAAAAATCCAGTAGATAATACTACTTAGAATGAGCAATATAGAACAAAATTGACTCTAGTCAAATTCGGAACAAAACTCGGAGGTCAAAGTTTCCGTCTTGCCTATCCAGAAAAAGCTTTCTTATGTTCTGGGAGGAAAACAGGAACAAAGGGCAGACTGATTCCCTTTATTTTTCTAAGACATTTGGACAAGCAAACTCACAGAACCAACAAGAGTGACACCCATCAAACCTAATGTCGATCAAACAAGGAAAACCATACTTTCTGACACAAAAAACTTGACTACAAGTAATGTAACTCTGGAGCTCGAGTAGTTCAGAAAATCCAGATCATTTCATGCATGCTTTGCTTAACTCTATAAAACCAAAAAGTAAGAAAATTATACCTCTCTCCTTGTGGTGTCTGCTTTCATTAAGGTAATTCTTCACAGTAAAAAGGTGTCTCCCTTTCAGCAATATTGCTTCGTCAAAACATAAATAGACACCATGCCTGCAATGCATAGTACGAATTCCAGGTTGCATATAAACAACATAAATAAAGCATATCTATGTTAAAAGATGGAATGAAAAAGAGAATAGACTGTTGCATATTCCCACATGTAATAACTACATACTTTGTTTTATAGTACTCCTTGTACGTGATAACAGCTCCATCTTTCATTGTTAGAAGTGAATTTGTATTCAAATGATATAAAATACCCGTAATACAATAGACGTGACCATTGTGCGGGGTGTAGACCAAAGAATTTTGAATCCTACAAGTGCAAAATCGGCCGCTTTTGGTCTCCACAAAATGAGCATTTCCCTCCAAAGGACAGTTTGTGTGATCCTTCGGGCCATAGTTACAAGGAAATAAAACAGAAGTTACAGAGGTCCAATCAATCAACTGCTGATGTGAGTTAGTGGATGGAAGCAGAAAATAATCCATCTCAGGATTCTTCCCTAGTTGAAATCCATCCAAAAAATTTACATTATGATCCATAAGTACTCTGAAAATAGTGATCTGAAACCTCCTACAAAAAAGGACCTGCAAACATCAAAAAAGAAGATATAATTTACAAACCAAAAGATAAAAAGAAAAGGGATACATTACACCAATGACTTGTTTAACTGAAGAAACCGGATACCACACCTGTTCCGTGGTAAGCTCAATAACTCCGACATACTTCAAGCTAACTGTCAATGTACCCCTATCAACTTCCATATCAAAATTCACATTCACAATATCAGAATCCAGCTCAGTCCTCAAGGCAAGCACAATATCATGAACCGGAACATTATAATTGAAGTTCTGCTTCAACTCAATTAAGTAGCAGTGGTACACTGTCTTGGTTTCGTGAGCATGCTCATTGACAAGTTCAGGTGGGAAGTAAGTGGGTTGCTCATCATTATATGAATCTTTCCCTGTACATTAAAAAATTAAATAAATGAAATAATGAAGTTTACAAGTTACTCATATTATAGGCTGCAATAAAAAGTTACCAGATTTCTGTGCATCAGCTTCTTCCACAACAATATCAGGAACAAGATTATCTGTTAAAGCACCAATTTTATGGAGTTGCTTGCACGCTTCAAGACATGCAGTTTGCTTTAGCGTCTTAATGTTTCCCTGTACCTGAACAGACTGTATTGGGCAGCTCTTGGGAAGGAACAGTGTGCAAACCTCCCTCTCCTTCTCTATATCACACCTTGGAGAAGGTTTAAAATATCTACAGAAAACAAAACCGACAAAGAAATAAAAATTACAGCATTAGGCCATAATACCAAGAAAAAACAGAATTATTTAGTACAATAAGCACATAAATGAAAAGCTTAGCAGCATTTGCAATAATGAGTAGAAATGACTAACCCATCAGAAGGGAGCCGCGAGCAATAGAAGTATATCAAACCAACACTTGAACTGAGCGTCACAATTGCGCCGGTGGTTTCAACACGATAATACTCCTCAGCATGCATACCATTTCTAAGAGGAGAGCAAGGAAGGGAAGCATTACACAGGGACTGTTTTCTCATTATATCTCCACTAGCAAGATAATTCTCCAGCCGGGAACGAGTAGTACGATCCCCACTATAAATTATGGCAGGTCAGAAACGTACTTATCTCTCATCATGTCAGATAAATTGAAGTACATAAAAGATTCAGGGGCACTTTCAAACTGTTCCAACAGCAGTATTATATATCTTGGTTTCTATGAGAAATGAAATAAATAAAATTCTTACCTCTTCACCATTAATAAATAATCCGAATCTTGCATTCTAGCACGACCTCGAGACTGTATGAAACTGCAAACAGTAGCTGAAGGATCAAATCTTATAACCAAATTGCAGCTTTGAACATCTAACCCTTCTTCAAGTATTGATGTTGCAATAATGATGTTCACCTTCAAACAAGTCGTTCTCACATTCAAAACATGCAATAAGTAACAAAGAATACTTTGAATGAAATTACATATTCACATACCATTCCTTGACGAAATTCTTCCACAATTTCATTTTGTTTTTTCCTGGACTGGCATTGCAACCCAGAATTATTTCCTGCAATATATTTCGTCTTCCAGCTGCAGTATCTTGGAAGCAACTCTCTTAGTAGAGGTTCCAGCACGATAGCTGTAATGACCCTTTCCACAAAAATTATACATCTTATGTCCTGCAAATTCCTGCGTTTAAATAATAGATAAGCAACCTTGGCAACATAATTTCATTTATAAATTAAACAAAAAGAAAAAAAATTATACAATTATTTAAATATCCAGAATGACTTGAAGTTTGCTAACATGTTGCAAATTGCGCAAATTACATAATACAAGTTTGGTACAATGTATTTTTTCCTTGGTATGTGATTAAATAATAAATTCAGTAATTATGTATAGTTTCAGAGGTGTTTTATATTGTTCCCCAACAGAATGTCACTCAAGTTTTTCCTGGCCTCAACTTGAAATGAACAATGGACCCAAAAATTTAACACTTTTGGAAAAGTCTTGCCAGCTTAGGGATTGAAGAAATACAATATTTTTCTACAACACTCCTTTATTAAATTGCTAATTCTTGAGGTGAGATTTGACAACAAACTAACATTCATCCCAATTTGACTCACACTGACCGATTTAGAGCATGCATTGTGCACCTATCACTTCTTGGTTCTCCATTTTCTGTTCTATTTTCATTCTCTATGTCATTTGTATAGATGACCAGACCAAAAAAATATTGTGAAAAACTTCTCCAAATCTTCATTATATTAAAATCATCAATATTTTTATATGCATGTTAGAATATCGACACTTTTATGAGCTGGGATCAGAATTGAAGGAATTTTAGTACAGCATTTTAATCATGAGTACTTGAAATGATAGACCATACTGCATGATATTGACTCTGTTAAATAGATTTAATGAAGATCAACAGTCATGCTTATATGCCAACCTGTACCCAAGGAGAGATTCAATGAGGCAAACAACTTTTCCTGTTAGAAGTCCAGTATCCACGTTGACTCTATCATTATCACCAATGGACCACTCTGGCCCTAGATTTAGGATGAAGAAAAAGAAAGAAATAATATAAGAATAACACATTAAGTCTCCGCCAATTCTCACTAAGTTGGAGAACTACCTGATGGTATGAAAGGGGCAAATACTTGACAGGCATCCAAACTGAATCTTTTAACAATTGACTCACCGAGCACATCCAAATGACCCCAGGCAAAAAAGTCACTTTCATAGCATGATAAGCTCTCTGCAGCCTATTACAGAAATGAACGTGCAATGATCTCTAACAAACCTATAATACAAATGACTAATGGCACGAAGCAATGATGAAAGAGTAAATACCTTTGAAGCCAACCAAACACCAAGCTCATTTACACAAAACAACAAAGTCGAATGTATCTTTGATACTTTCTTCCTTATAGACTCTGCTTGTGTGTCAATAAGATCCAAACTATTCAGAGAAATTTCATGCTGAAAAGCAATAGATCATTGTCAATACCCCCATAGAAGAAACCATAGCTCATCATGATATACATTGAATAATTAATATTTCTCAGAGGAAACAAGTACAGAAACTCTATAATTCTGACACGTATTTAAAGAAAAGTAAGATTGATTCTAAATTAACGTTGTGGAAGCTACTGAACCCACGAAATCACTTCTGCAGCCAATTTTTTATACTTCGTATTGTCACACAAATCATCTCTGTTTTTTGGCTCATTGTAGAAAAAAATATGATCCTATAGAAAAATCTGAACCTAGAGACCATTTTTATTATTTTTCACTAGAACCCATTGATTCTCCTTGTTAAGCCTCTCTATAGAAGTTACTACTCCAGAACAATTCTTAAAACCCAAATATAAATTGAATCATACAAAACCCGTGAAAGAAAAAGAATATTGATTATCTAAGAATGCAGAAACAGTAAGCTTGGACATTGCAACTTAAATTTTCACATTGAAAATACACACCTTTGCTACTAAGGAATTCAAACCATCTTCTAAGCAAGCATATAAAGCATATGGAATTTCAATGTACTCGTAAAACTTGAACTTCGGAGTTGAAAATGGTATATACTGAGCAAGTACTGATTCACTGACGCATGTATAAACCTTCATTGTATAAGAGAATGATATCAATAATCACATTAAATAATATCGAATAGACACCAAACAATGCGATTTCATCATAAAGACAGAACATAAAAATATCAGAAAAGATACTTAAAGATGACATATGAACCTCAATTAACGGCTTCTTATGTTTTATATAACTTATATAATTATCAGATTATTAGATTTATATGCTCCCAACATATGAGAATACACCTAACATCCAAATAATAGAAATTGCATATTGTATAATGTCAAATGTAATCCCAACCACTCAAAGTACACAATTCTTATGATTTACAACTTATGTTATAGTATGTGCACAAAAGTATTAGTCATACACACAGGACAATTGAACAATAAGCATAACATCAGCAATGCACAAGGACTTCTCCCTGCAAGATTTTCTGGACCATGGAAGATGATTTTACAACAAAGATAAGAGACAAGCATGGAAAAAATTCCATTTGAGATACATACATATATAGAGGATGATTACAAGAAGAAAATTGACGAAAGGGTTAAATTACTATAGATATGAAGAACGTTCCCATTTTGTAAATCTCTTAGAACTGGTGAACATAATAGAATACAGGAAAAAAGGCGTCACAATCTTTTTTAATCAATTTCTTATTCCAAAGTCCTTTTGTTGTTAAACTTTTGAAACCATTATCCCAGCTACATGGAATTAGTTCCTTTAGAATGTTAAGAAACCATTTGACCTAAAAGATTAAGCTGATAAGAAAGGTCCCAGCAATAGTATTTAAGCTCTCACATAGAATACCATCAAAAATAATTCTCTAATGACACCATAACTAAGGAGATCACGGGCTGTGTCATTGGACTAGTTTCAACATACATAGGATTCCAATGTCATATAAAGTGTAACAGAGGTCCCTTATAATAATTTATTTAAACAGCCATAATATAGTTAAACAGCAATAGAATAATTGGTGTCAACAGTCATGCCAATGATATGTGTTTTGTATGTTCATGCCAAGTTGGACAAATCAATAATAGGTGTTTAAACACACACACAAATATACATACATAGACACACCTACAAAGAAGAAACTTAAACATAAAAGAAAAGCAGCAACCTTTGAATTCATAAGAGTCTCAAGTTCATTAATATGCTGCCAATAGCCGTGATCCGAGTTAGCTCCTAGGCCAAGTGAAATGGAGGAAAAAAAGATTAGACGCCATATTGATAAGCAAGCAATACAGTGTTAAATTTTGTCAAATAGAGAGAATACCTTTAGACTTTATAGGAGATGCAGTCATCCCAAAAATCCTAGGAAGATCAGATTCACCTGATTCTAGCTGGGGGTGATAGAACTCCTGTAAAAGCAAAAGAATTTCTGTGACAATGCAGAAATTATTCAACATAAAAAAATAAGATGATGAAATTGCAATATGATAAAGAAACACTAACTTTCAGCATATAATTTTAGTTCCACAAATAAAATAGTGGTGTCTCATTAATATGATGCTTATAGATGATTTTACGCATCTTAGACTATAATGTAGTTGGGCATGTTACTCCATCAACTTGTCACGGCAAAATAACATAGGAAATATTGACTTCCATTTAGTAGTTTCCTAAGATTTCAAAGAGGACACCTTCAATAGCCAAGAAGAAATTCTTAATAAATTACCAAAAAAAGAGCTCAAATATAGGCAATGATCACTCCAACCACAAACGATTATAAAAGGTCTGATAATCTCTTTTGTTTCTGTCCTTTCTAAAATTGTTAAGATGAATATAATAGTGGCATGTTTGACATTTCAAACCGTCAAAAAATTTATCAAAACACTTATGTATGCCCACAAGATCACACTCAGTGTCTTGACCTTGCTTTATCAATAGTCTTATGAAACAAAAGTGGTGATGTAAATTAGATACTGTAAATGAAATCAACCCGCATTATCCGTAAGGGAAAAGAAAAGACACCTATCAATGGGCAGCGTCCAGTATATAGTTAATATAATCCTCTTCAAGGTCTGTCAAACATATAATTACTTGCATATTCCCAAAATGGAAAAACCTTACAACACAAGAAGCTAACAATCTTTTCTATGATGTCTGTATCATAAATGAATTTCAAAGTGCATCTGCATTGAAGCTAAGAAGTGTTTTTGCAACTAAAAGAAAACGTTACTGAAACATGAATAAACAGAACTGAGCTAATTTTTTCTGCATGGATCCTCATTACATGAAACCTGTGAAAAGTTTTTTCTTCAAAAAATTAAGGATCAATAAACCTAAATGATTGAAAATTTAAAAGTGCATAAGGATTTTACTATAATATAGGAAATTGATTGAAACAAAAATGAAAGAAGCAAAAACAGTCATAACATAAATATGAAGACAACTCACCGTCATGATGCAAGCATATGGGTATTTACCCCTGGTATGGTGACATTCATCAAGTATTAAAACTTTAATCATGTTGAGTTTCAAAAAGCTGTGCCTCAAGCCATTAAGCAAAATTTGAGGTGTCATCACAAGCACCTGTAATCATGAAACTGAAAATTAATACTGACTGCATAACCAATCCCTAAAATTCGTGATGTTAGAGCATTGTCACACAAATTAATGCATATATACAGAAAGGAAAGTTAGCAGCCTAATGCATGAATAAAGAAAAAAAGCTTTCACAAGTCAATTATATTTATGTGAATGACCCATCATTGAACATCGTGAAACATAAGTCTAACTAGGAATCATCAAAGAAGGATTACAATTGCCTAAAATAGTTAGGAAACATATTAAATTGCAAATTTCAGCTGCTTTCATGCATATCTTCTCCAGGGTAGGAATCAAGCAATATCTAAAACATGAAAGTGATCACAAAAGAGAAGTGAGGCAACAAAAGCAGTTTAAAAGCCAGGAACAGAAATTGTGTTCATTCCTGCCGGCTTTACAATTGAAAAAGGTATATCACAACATCACCATACCAATTGACAAATTTCAAGAATAAAAACATATCAGCCATTTTGCCAACTGAACAAGTAAATCGGAAACAAAGCCTCAAGTGAGCAAATTTAATAGCAGAAAACTAAAGGAAAATTGAATTCAAATAACAGTGTCAATATAGCAGCTTAGAAAACTAAACACATATACTTTGTAAATCATTTTTATTCTGCTCCCTACGTTCTATATATAAAAGGATGGCGAAGAAAAAAATGCACCTCATGTTTGCCTATCTCTTCCTTCCATGTAGCAGCATCCCAATAATCAACTCCCATCTCTCCCCAATACATGCCCACATTCAGATCTATATGCATTTTTATTGCCTCAGCTTGCTAGTATTGACAAAGAAAAGCATAAAAAGAAACAAATCAGAAGTAAATTGTTTTAATTTTAACTTAAGCATTCATACTAGCTCCAAAATGAACAACTTTCAGCATGAACCGAACATCTAAATTTAAACATTTCAAATAACCATATTTTGGTTTTACAAATTGGATACCTGCGACACCAGAACAACTTGGGGAACTAAGAAGACAGCAATATAAGGTGAAGGCTTCCGCAGAAAATAAGCATAGCTTCGCAGAAGCATGATGGCAATTAAAGTCTTGCCGGAACCGGTCTCCAAAAAGACTATCGTGTTCTGCTTAAGTGCCTTCTCCAATGCTTCCAGCTGATAACTACAACAGTACATAAAAACCACAAAGCATCACACTGGAATCAACCAATAAGAAAAATTACATGATGAAATAAAAATCTACAGCCCTTCAATCCACATTTCTTCACTGTTCTCAAAAAACACAAAATGAATTCATAGCCAAACACACCCTTAATTTTCTTCTCTTTTCCTAGCATTTCTCATCAACCAAACCAAACTATGTTGAAAATTAAAGAGTAATCAGTAAACTCACCATCTGGCAAATGGGAGAGGATCAGCAGAAACTTGTTGAGTTGTGATCATGTCCGTACTAATAGCTGGTTCCATGGCTACATTCAAAAGTGATCAACCAATCAATCAACCATTAACAAAACTCAAACCAAACACAATTATCAACAAAATCCCAGAACCCATATAGCCACATTGATCACTTAATAAAGTTACATGCATTTAAAGAATATAAACATCTAAAACAAGAAGCAAACAAACCAAGATTGATCCTTTAAACATCCAAAGAGAACCAACCCAGAATCCAAACATCAAAAACAAAACTTACCAGCAAGTTCAGACACAATGAAGGGCAATGAGATGAGGATGAGAGAGCTCAAAAACAGTAAAAAAAAATTTTGAAAAAAAAAAAAAAAAAGAGAAAAGCAACAATGGGTTCTCTGTTTCTTCTTCTTCTCCTTCTTTGCCAAGCAAAGACAACAGGTTTTCAGTTACTGCAATATATAAATATGCAAAAAAGGAGAATCTTTGAGCACTTGTGACTTGACCATGAAACAGATAATAAAAATTCGAACTTGCAAGAGAAGGAACTTCTTGGAGAAGGCTCTGATAATTGACAACAGCAAGTACTATAACAAAAGGTTGACTGCACAGTGACATATAATTAAACTATTCCACGACAAGCAGTGGGTCTTTCTGTCTTCAAATTGTTGAAAAACAAAAAAAATATAAAGAAAACAGAAACGGAAAAAATGGAACCAAAGGAAGTGTTTTTAATGTTGCTGACAGTAGCATGATGTTATATTAGTGAGAGTTTTAAGGTTTTTAAGCAGTGTGAATGTGATGTGATAATTAATTAATTAAATATGTTCTTTATCTAATTTTACTATGGTTTTGATTTCATTCCCCTATGAGAATCACCCAGGCCGGTTTTTGTAATTTTTTAAGGATTTTTGTAATTTTTGCAGGGGTTTATTTTTGAAATTTTAGAAAAGTTTATAATGTTTTTCGAGATCATTGAAGCGCTTGAAACTTACTTATCTCTCACGAGATGAATTGAATAAATTATTATTATTATAACTCGTAAAATAATCATTGAAAGTTATGTTAATGTTTGGTTATATTTGTAAAACTGTTGAGCATCGTAAAATTAGTACGCAAATGTTTGGTTAATTTAAATGTTAATTTTTATGACTATGTGTAATGACCAAATTAACTATATATTATTTTGTATAATAATGTTTTGATGGTATATGATGTCAAAATTATATTATTAACTTAAAATAAAAGAAATTCAACCTATAGTCAATACTTATTATTAAAATTAAAAATCTTTTAAAAAGATACTAAGATTATCGATATCTTCCTAAAAGATCCTTATTTGGAAAATAATAAACTAAAAATATATAATGGGTAAAATATTCTATAATTAATTTTTAAAAGTAATCTGCTACCTGTTTAATAAATTTGTTACCAAAAAATGAAAATATTTACCAAATATTGGTCTAAAAATTTAAATGGAATCAAAATTTTGATTTTCTTAATATATTGTAAAATGTAATAAAATCAGAAGATAGAAGAAGAAGAAAAGCACAATCTTGATTTGTGTTATTTTAAGGTGTTTAACTCTTTAAAATTTAAGGACCTACATGATATGAATCGAAACTATAAAGAGGTGGATGATATTTTCAATGTATTTACCTAAATATATAATTAAAGAATAAAAGTTATTGACTATTCATTTTCAGATGAATTATGGTTTGATGATATTTATCCCCTTCTACTCAAAGGGGTTTAGTCTAAATCATGTGAGAGGATAAGAAATGGAATAAGAGAACAGCCATTAAAAAATTGATTAATAATAAATAATAAAAATATTTATATATTTTTTATATTAACTTCATCCATCAATTCTCTCATTTAACAGTAAAATATGAATGACAAAATAGATTTACTTTCTCATTTAAGAAATAAGGTATGAATAATATGACGTAGTCCCGCATCACCAATGTCGTCGATCAATAGATATTTGTCACATAATTAATTAATTTAATAACAATCGATTACATTAATTATAAATTCTTATGAGAAAAAAAAAATCGCAAATAAAAGACATAAACGCCTTGGCTTGTGGCACGCTGACAAGATACATATGTGGTACATGATAGATCTTCAAAAAACTTATTACCCGGTCACTAGACCTTACCTCCGATTGAGCCGTTTCTAGGGTGGATAGGCTGTTGAACAGAGAAGATAACTCTTTCCGAGGCCCTCATCGACGTCTCTAGACTCTCTAACATTGTCGTCAACCATCATGTCCCGATTCAAAAATTTCAACCCAATTCCCTTTCAAAGCTCGCGAGCTGAGCGCTATCAGACGAAATTCTCTCATCTCTTAAGATCGACTAACCTATGTACAAGTGCCATTCACATGAAACATTTTCTCTCTTTAAAGTTTTAATCTTCAAAAAAATCATAAAAAAATAATAATAATTTATCCAACAAAATCTCTCCCATGTTTTTTTTTCCTTAAGTTCCTTGCATGGTTCTTTCAACATTGTGTCTCAACTCAAAATACCATGGTTGAAATTTTTAGAAGGGATGAGATTTTTGATGAACTTTTTTTTCTTTTAATTAATATTAGGGTAAATTGTAAAATCTTTAAACCGAATCAAAATATTCTTTAATTTGGCAACCCTATTAATGAAGTCCACAGATTTAAAAATGAAGGGTCCGTTTGGTTCATTATTCTGATAGTTTTTAGAATAATATTTTGAAAAAAGTTAAATTGGGTGGGTATTACAATGTAGAATTTGAACATTGACAAAAATACCCCCTATGTTTATTTATTTACTAAACACCCCTACAATAAAATATTCAAAGTTAACAAAAACACCCCTAATCCACTCATTAAATACGGACAGCGGACCACCACCACCGGAGGGTGGTCGGAGTCGCCGTATCGACACATGACTGACTGGATCTTGTTGATCATGCGTCGATATGGCATTTTCTAGTCAGATCCATGGTAGATCTAGCCAGAAAATACTAGATCTATGGCTAGATTTGACCATTGATGACGAGATCTATGGCTAGATCTGGCCATTAACAACCAAATCTGGCCGCATTTGGTCTTCAACGACGGTCAAAGATTTGGCTGTCGTTGACGACTGTCTATAGCCAAAGATCTGGCTATTGACGACTAGATCTTTAGCCGAAAAAAGACTAGATCGGCGCACTACGAACCAAATTCAGTTGGTACTGCGCCATTATACCAGATTCTGGTCAGCTTCCGATAGTGGTGACTGGAATCTGGTAAATGTGGGTTGTTAGGGATTTTTGTTAATTTTAAAAATATTTAGGTTATCTAATTAAATTAATAAATTTAGAAAGTTTAAAAGAAATTGAATAATTTAGAATTATATCTTGAGAATAAGTTAACCAAATACAAATTTTGTGTTTAACTTTATCGGAAAAATTAGGATAGTGTTTCAATATATCTACCGCCTTAAAATTCAAAGCAACACTTGCTTGGAAGATGTGTAAACTTTCTGATTCCAAATTTACTTTTGGGAAATTGTGCATTCTTAAAGGCAAAGGAAGCAACATTGATAGGACAGGAGGAAAGAAGAGGAGAACTCTTAAAAAATGGTGGGATTATTTATTATTAAAAGGAAGTTTGAAAGACAAAAAAGGAAATGATTTATCTTTTTCTCAATTCCGTGTGGACCCTTGATGGATTTCATGTGATCCAAAATATTATCTCATTATAAATTTATTTATGCAGACCCACTAATATTTTAATGTACAAATCAAAGGTCAGTAAAATGAAATGATTCTATATTCTATGAAATCAATAAAGAGTGTTTGACCTTTGGATCACTCGTTGAAATTTGAGGACGTATGCAATTAACATAAAATTGACTATACTGTTGAAAACTAATGTTCATCCACCGGCAGTGGTGAATGGGGGGAGGGGAGTTAGCTATAAAATAACCCCATTCCTTTCATTTTTACAGAACAATCATTTTGAGAAAGTAAAGAAATATTATAGTCCCTTCTTCATCTTTATTTTCTACATATTTAGTCCTTCTAGTCTATTACACTGCACCACTAAAATTATAGCATGTTATCAGCACGAACATGAAGAGTTTAACAAGTGTTACATTGCATCTCTATTGAAATTCCATAAATAAATATCGTTTTAGAACTTAAAATTCTAAATATTAATTACAAACATGAAGTTTGTAAAACAGAGACAAGAATTGGACTTGAAGTTCCATATCATGAAGATAAAGTTTTGTAAACATCCTTACTAATGTACATTTTTTTTAAGGATGGACTTCGAAACTAAGACATCGATTTCAAGTAATGGTGGAGAAATTTATATAGTAGACAGTGCAACAACACACACTATCCTTCGGGATAGAAAATATTTCTCAGGTTTGACATTTACTGAAGTTAAAATAAATACCATATCAGGATCTGAAAACATAATTGAGGGCTCCGGAAGAGCAACACTTGTGTTACCGAGCGGAATTAAATTAAGTATCCATGATGCTTTATTTTTTTGGCAAATCTAGAAGAAATTTGCTTAGTTTCAAAAATATACGACTTAATGGATATCACATTGGAACTTTAAGTGAAAAGGATGGAGAGTTTATATGCATCACTGCTAATATTTCATGCTAGAAGCATATACTAAAGAAACTCCCTACTTTCTCATTAGGGTTATATTACACATTCTTGAAGAATGTTGAAGTCTATGCAGTTATAAACCAAAAGTTCACTGATCCTGAACTTTTTAAAATTTGGCATGACCGTCTTGGTCACCTAGGATCTACTATAATGCGTAGGATCGTAGAAAACTCACATGGGCACCTATTAAAGAACCTGAAGATTCTGTCAACTAATGAAAGTGCTTGTATTACTTGCTCACAAGATAAATTGGCACTTAAGCCATCCATCACTAAAGTTGGTATAGAATCCTCATCATTTTTACAAAGAATTCAAGGGGACATATGTTGACCTATTCATCCACCAAGTGTACCTTTCCGTTAGTTTATGGTACTGATTGACGCATCGGCACGATGGTCACATGTTTGTCTACTATTTACCTGTAATGTTGCCCTTGCTAGATTGCTAGCACAAATTATCAAATTACGGACACACTTTCCAGATTACCCAATTAAAGCAATCTGTCTGGACAATGCTGGTGGTTTACCTCAAAGACATTTGATGATCATTGTACAGCAATGAGAATCGATGTTGAGCACCTAATACCACATGTACATACCCAGAATTGTATGACAGTGTCATTTATAAAGCGTATCAAATTAATTGCAAGAACTTTGCTATTACGTTCACAATTACCAACTTCTGCCTAGGCTCATGCTGTTTTACATGCTACAGTGTTGATTTGCCTAAAACCGACTACATACCATCAATACTCTCCAATACAACTTGTATTTGGACATCAACATAATATATCCCATTTAAAAACTTTTAGTTGTGTTGTACAAGTTTCAATTGCACCCCTTCAATGCACCAAAATAGGACCCTAACGTTGTTTAGGAATATATGTTGGCTATGACTCATCATCTATCATTAGATATCTAGAGCCTTTGACGGGCGATCTATTTAAGACACGTTTTGCGGATTGCCATTTTGATGAGAAAACATTCTCATCTTTAGGGAAAAAGGTAAGGCCTCCTGAAGTAAGGCCTGAACTTTACTGGAAAGTGAATTATATGTCTCATTTAGATCCTTGCACATCTCAATTTGAAATTGAAGTACAAAGAATAGCACATTTGCAAAATATTGCCAACCAAATGCTTGATGCATGTACAGATGCAACAAAAATAGCGAGATCATACATTCCTGTTGTCAATACACCAACAAGGATTGATGTCACCAATGAACAATCCATGCAGGCAATGGTCGATTCATCTGTTACACGCCAGAAGCATGGTAGGCATGTTGAAGCCAAGAATATTGTTCCTAGGAAACGAAAGGCACAAAATCAAATAGATGCCAATATTGAAAATATTAGAATAATAGATAATTCCACATCTTCTAAACTAACTCCAGAAGAGTTAATAGTCCCTGAACGGACACAAACCCCTGAAGAGGAACAAATCTCTGAAGGAATGCAAGAACATAGAAATGAAGAAATTTCTATAAATTATGCTCATAGTAAAGAAATGTGGAGTCGTGAAACAACTATTGTCGATAACTTATTTTTATATGCAGTAGCTACTGAAATTATGAATAATGAGTTTGAGCCACTTTCTATAGATAAATGTCGACAAAGACATGATTGGTCAAAATGGGAAGAGGCAATTCAAGCAGAATTAACCTCCCTAGCAAAAGGTAATGTATTTGAACCTGTGGTCCAAACACCTGAAAATGTGAAACCCGTACGATACAATGAGTATTCACAAGGAAATAAAATGAGAAAAATGAGATTACTAGGTATAAGGCCAAACTAGTGGCCCAAGGTTTCCTGTAGAGACTTAGAATTGACTTTGATGAGACGTATTCACCAATGATGGATGATATCACATTTCGATCCTTGATTAGTTTATTAGTCTCAAAAGGACTGATACGCGTCTCATGGATGTTGTCATTGCGTATTTGTATGGTACACTGGATACTGATATCTATATAAAAATCTCTGAAGGATTCAAAGTGCCAAAAGCAAATAAAAGGAGCATGTATTCAATAAAATTGCAAAGATCGTTATATGGGTTGGAACAATTAGGACGAATGTGGTATAATCGTCTCAGTGAATATCTAATGAAGGAATGATACATCAATGATCTTGTATGCCCTTATGTCTTTATAAAAAGGTCGGAATTAGGATTTGCAATCGTGGCAGTATATGTCGATGACATGAACCTAATAGAGACTCCTGATGAGGTCACAAAAGCTGCAGAGTACTTAAAAGAGAATTTGAAATAAAGGATCTCAGGAAAAGAAAGTATTGTTGCGGCCTGCTGATCGAGCATTGTTCAAATGGAGTTTTGCTTCATCAATCAAATTATACTAAAAAGATTCTAAAGTGATTTAATATGGATAAATCTCACCCCTTGAGTACCCTACTAGTTGTTCGGTCTCTTGATCCTAAAAAGGATCCACTTCGTCCTAAGAAGATGACGAAAAGATACTTGGCCCTGAAGTACCATATCCAAATGCAATAGGTGTATTATTATATTTGACACAATGTATGAGACCAGACATAGCGTTTGCAGTGAATCTGTTAGAAAGATTTAGCTCTGCACCAACTCACTGACATTGGAATAGGATCAAACATGTATTTCGTTACCTTAGTGGAACAAAAGACTTGAGATTATTTTATCCAAGGAAATCTGTCAATGATCTTAAATTAGTTGGCTATACAAATGCTAGGTACCTTTCCAATCCTCACAGAGCCTGCTTGTAGACGGGGTATGTTTTCACTTATAATGGTATCGCAATATCATGTCGCTCTACAAAACAAACATTGGTTGTCATTCCTCTAACCACTCCGAAATTCTTGCGCTTCATTAAGCCAGTTGAGAATGCGTATGGTTAAGATCTGACATCCATCATATTGAAAGTACATGCAAATTTCCATGTACCTCAGATGCTCCCACAATTATAAATGAAGACAATGCAGCATGTATTGCTCAAATCAGTGGAGGATATATCAAAGGAAACAGAACCAAACATATTTCACCGAAGTTCTTTTACACTCACGAACTCCAACAAAATCGAGAGATTGATGTCAAACAAATACGCTCCAGTAATAATCTTGTAGATTTATTCACTAAGGCCTTATTGACATCAACATTTGAAAAGTTAGTGTATAAAATCAATATTCAGTGGCTCAGGAAGTCACTAAATTAATTCTACCATTATGAGAGGAAGCATTAATCAAGAGAAGCATAGATTAGGGGGAGTTTTTTTGGAAAAGTTTATTATACTGGACATATGTACATTGTACTCTTTTTTCTTGAATCAGTTTTATCCCACTAGGTTTTCTTGACAAGGTTTTTAATGAGGCAGTATGAAGTACGTCAAACTTCACGTTACAATCTCATTCTAGAATTGTATTTCTTTACTTAGGTTTTTCCCCATTCGGTTTTTCTTGAGTAAGGTTAAATACAATTATCTGTAAGCAGTAGATGTCCAAGGGGGAGTGTTGTAAATTATATATCCATCCACTGCCTTAACCTTGAGGTGGTGAATGAGGGGAGGGGAGTTGGCTATAAATAACCCCTCTTCCCTTCATTTTTACAGAATAATCATTTTGAGAAAGTAAAGAAATATTATAGTCCTTCCTTCATCTTTATTTTTTGCATATTTAGTCCTTCTAATCTATCACATTTGCACCACTAAAATTACAACATATATATCTATATAGCAAAAAAAAAAAAAAAAAAATGGAGAACCAAAGGAAGATTTCAGCACATGACCAGCAAATTTCTTCAAAAGTCAAAAGTAATGTCCACTTGTAACCAAAAAGCACTCATGTGAAGCTACAGGAAGTACACTTGTAACCAAAAAGTAGGGTCGGGCAAAATTATCTGTAACTCAAACCGAACATGTTACCTGAAGTCCTGAACTGAACCGATCTAAAAAATTTGGATACTCGAAAATTCGGTTCGAATACGAGTACTAATGTAAGGGATACTTGAATATTTGGTTCGAGTACCGGGTTATTTGTAAAATTAATCGAGTACCCAAACCGAACCGAAATTCTAAATATATATAATTTTACTGCACTAAAAAAAAAGCCCCAAATTGAGTCTAAACCTAAAATTCGACTAAAACCAAACAAAACGACTCTAGACTCCAATAAACATCTTCTTCTTTGCCAATCTTGAATCCTTCCCAGTGACCATCGCCTCTGTTCGTTGTTCTCACTCCAGCCGGCAGCTGCTCGTCACCTATCAGTCATCACTCTTCCTCCTTCTGTCATTCTCGCTCCAGTCGACAACTGCTCGTCGCCTATTGGTCATCACTCTTCCTTCTTTTGTCGTTCTTACTCCAATCGACAACTGCTTGTCGCCTCAGTCCGTTGTTCTTTCTCTAGACTCCAGCAAACATCTCCTCATTTTGTTGTCATCGGCTTATGACATTTACACTGCAACCAGTGGCCTCACCTTATTACCTTCCTTCAAGTACCCAATAACCGAACCAAAATTCGGGTACCCGCAAATTGGGTACTTCATAAATCGGTTAGGTTACCAGATACCATTATAGAGCCCGAATATTTGGGTTGGGTCAAAAAAGGCTAAATTTGGTTCGGCAGTTCGGGTACTCGGTTTTGCCCAATCCTACCAAAAAGTGTTCATGAGAAGCTGTAAGAAGTCCACTTGTAACCAAATAGTACTCATGTGAAGCTACATAAGGTCCACTTGTGATCAAACAGTACTCATATGATGTTACAGTATTTTCAAGGTTTATAATATGTTGCAATATACATATAAGGAAACAAATTAAATCATAAATGCTCAATATAAGGAAACAAATTGAAACCATAGAATTACATGATAAGTATAAGAAAACAAATTTAAACTATTGATACTATTTAATTAACGATATTATTGAGCATCATCTTATATGATTGATGATGTTGTTGTCTAACTCATTAGACGGTGCTTAATAATCCTTATATATCAATTGCCAAGTTTAATTATAGAGATTTCACAAAAGTGACAAACATACATCATCAAGTTTAACGATAAAGATTTCATGAAAATGTTGAACATAATATCTTTTAACGAGCTACTTTTTTGGCATATTCTCTCCAATAATAGTCGTATTACTGCTAACCTTACTCTTATGTAGGTTGTGGTACTTGAAATTTTATGACCTAAAATTACATTTTTACATATGTTTTGAAGAATTGCAATTAAAAATTATTTCATTGATTTTGGGGGAAATTGTGAAATGGGCCCTTTGAATGTAAAATTATGGGCTTAATAGTAGAGAGCACTAGGCCCATCAATTCTTTATTGTAAATTTGTAATTACGAAAACAAAAACTAGGGTTTTGAACTCACCTACCCAGCTGTATATAAACACTTGCAGACTTAAGCCAGCCCTCTTTCACTTAAAGTACCTCCTCTTCACTCTTCAGAAGCTTGAAACAAAATGGTAATCTTTCTATCATTTTCTTTACATTTTCTCAGCACCCAAATGCATGTAACATGTTTCCCTTTTGTGTTTATGTGGGCTTGTTTCGATGTATGCCGACTGGTAGCTTTGTGCAGGGTTTAGGGTTTTTGTGCTCAATTTTATTTTTTGATTTGCTTGTATCAATCTTTGAATCATTTTGTGAAGTGGGTTTTGTTCGCTTTGGAGGAAAATGTTAGAAGGACCTTCTATATTTTGTGGTGTTCAATAAAAAATGATTTTTTTTTTCTTATGTTGGTTCAATGGAGATCTGTTTATTTTATGTGGTTCAATTGAGCTTCGGTCTTGAGTATGCGAACTGCGAAGCCCGTAAATTTAAATTTATGGCACTTAAGGTTACATTAGTAAGTAAATGTGGATTATGGCAACATGCAATTTGTCAATGGCTGATGTTACTGTTGTGTTGTGTTATAAGCCCGGGTTTGTTGATCAGATATCTTGGTTTTGGCTGAAGAATAAACAATAAAATCTATGACCAGACTTTAGTCAGGTATCTGCCTTTTTATATATGTTGGTTGATACAGTTACGAGTTTGGAAAATTGATGTTGTCTATCGTTACAGATGTGTTGATGCTATTCAAGCTCACATCTGTTCCATTTAGGCACTACATGATTTGCACTAGTGACACATAGTGTTTAATATTGATGCTAATGCACATTGTTCAAGTGTTTATTCTAGTCTTACTTTTGCTATAGCAGGATATAAGATGTGTTAAGAGTTTTTTTTTGGGTCAGGTTTCTGTAGTATATAAATCTCTGTTTATTTCAGGTTAGAATTTGTTGATATATGCATACAAAGTCATCATGATTCATGTCTTTGATTACTGTGGCTGAAGTTGTCCTTGCAGTTTCTCTGATTGTGTAAATATTTGTTCGAAAGATGTACTTGACAAATGTTTTCAGTAAACATGAATTTTATTGTGTCTGTTGATCATTTGAGTGCTATGTTTTTACCATTGTGTCATAGCAATTTTTTTGTATACAAATGGTTGAGAATGCCCAAGGACTTTAAAACCTGCTTTTTAATCCACAGCCGAAGCAGATTCACGAGATCAAGGATTTCCTTCTCACTGCAAGAAGGAAGGATGCTCGTTCTGTTAAAATCAAGAGGAGCAGGGATGTGGTTAAGTTTAAGGTTCGCTGCTCCAAGTACCTTTACACACTCTGTGTGTTTGACTCTGAGAAAGCTGACAAGTTGAAGCAATCTCTTCCTCCAGGTATAAGCTAATTTATTTTAATTGTATTTATTATGGTCTAATGCATAATAATGTTTGGTTTTTTTCATCATATTGCAGCACATATGATTTGTTTTTCAAGGTGGTGGTGTTAAATTTGTTTCTAAATTAATTTGCCCCTGGATCTATGTTTTCCATAATACATATCATGTTTGTTTAACTTATTGCACCTGTTGATGTTATAACAACAATATTCTGGAAATTATTTCTGAAATTTTACTTGTGTCTGTTTGTAATTAATAATGCTTCATTATCTGGTCATTGTGGATCTTAACCATTCCCATTTGACTCGTTCCCTTGAAGCAATAGTAATTGTGTTGCTTTTCCAATATTTACCCTCAATTCTTTTCTTGTTAGCTTTGGGGAAACGGTTGAGCAACTATATATTCCCCCTAATGCCTTTAGGCATTTCAGCCATGGATATTGCATTTCTCATTGTTTCAAATATACCATGCTCCTAATGTTTCGAAGTGTAAGCTGGGTTACTTATCTTTGTTTCCTTTTTTCAATCTTCAGGTTTGAGTGTGCAGGACCTGTGAAGAAATTGTCTGATCTAAAGAAAGCCAACTTTAATCAGTTGGTTTGATCAGAAGTGGAAGAAATTTTGTTTTGTGCATTTTGGTTCTCTCTCTCTGTGTTTTTTTCTAGCCCCTAACATCAAAGAGTGTCATGATAAATGTTATTGATTTCCATTAGTTGTGGTTCACTTTCTTTACTATTTGCCATGAGTTTATTGACTGGAGTTGTATATCAGTTGAGTATTTTTAATTATTCAAGTAAAAAATTCCCCCCTTTCATGTTATGTGCCTTGATTTTTATATATTTTACATAAAGGATTAAGAATCTGTATATTGAAAGTTGAAAATTCCCACTTTCGTATTGAGTCACTTTCATGAATTTTTTTTAACAGTGAGCTGGCCACTTGGGGCTTAACTTGAAAGTGTACTAAAAATCAATGTTTTAAAACCCATCCTGGGGTGCAACCTGGCAAAGTTTTTGGGTCTCGGGTTGTGACCAGTTGACAAAAAATTTTAAAATTCAGCAAATACACCCCTGAAAATTACATGTAAGTCCTTATATGTTTGAACTTTATCAAATACAACCTAAATGCAAATTGATCGGGGCTCGATTGGCGGTGGCGATACCCTAGATGCAACTCAATCATTCCTTGAGCCCATTTCCATTAAAATCTACCCAAGATTTAGTCGAAATAGGTTTGATTTTGGTCAGATCTCATCGATGCTAGCGTGCGTATTCCAGGCCAGATCTCATCCACGTCAGCGATGACAACCCTTCCTATCACCCAGGAATCACTCCCCTTCTTCTCCCGACCAAAACCCCCACCTCACCCCACCCCCGTTAGCCTCTCCAATCGTTGGTGAAATCCTATCGTTGTCACTGCCAGATTTGTTTGATTTCTGGTCGATTTACTTACCGAAAATCAATGATGTCACCACCATTACATTCACCGACGCTTTATCTTCAAAAGCCCTAAGGTTTCGATGGTCAATTGCTCGCCGATCATCCACCCAAATCTTAGGGTTTTGGGTGAATAGGAAAAGAATAAACCCGGCCCGTTGAAGCTTTCAGGTCCCGATTGAACCGGTCAGGCCGGGTCGGGTCGGGTTTTAAAACAATGCTAAAAATATTATGTTTGAGAGGAAGCGTGTTTTAATAAACAACCTGGGGTGGAACTTGACAAAGTAGTGGGGTCTTAAGTTAATCGGTAACCAGGTGTTTAAAGGTTTGAAATCCAACAAAAATCCTTTTAAGAATGACATATAAGTGTTTATATGTTCGAAATCTTACAAAAACATTCCAAACACCATCGTCGGTGTCGACAACCTAGGGTAAATAGGGTCTGTTTTTGGTGACAATAACACTTCCCGTCATCACGAAAACATTGACCAAAACTCATCTCACCCCTTTCCTATTCACCTCGTCAATTGTTGGCAACAACCTGCTATTGCCATCAATTTATTTTTGCGATTTTTAGTTGATTCACTCATCGGAAATCACCTTTGTCACTATCTTTGCACTCAATAGCCCTTTCTCTTCAAACCCTTAACATTCCAACTATCAATTGTTCGTTGTCGTCCTAAGTTTTAGAGTTTTTGACAATGTTTTAAAACCCAACCCGGGGTGAAACCTGGTAAAGTTGTCGGGTCTCGGGTTAACCAGTTTGACTAATGATCAAATCGGCTGACATAAACTTTTAAAATATAGCAAATACACCCCTAAAAATTTTTAAGTCCTTATAGGTTTGAAATTTAGCAAACACACCCCAAATACAAATCGGCTGACGACTGGTTGGTGGCAGCGACACCCCAAATGCAACCCTAATCGTCCTTTGAGCCCATTCCACTGAAAATCTACCTAAGATCTGATTTCGGCCAAATCTTATTGACACTCGTGTCGGCATTCCAAGCTAGATCTCACCAACGTTGGCATCGACAATCCTTCCCATCACCCCGAAAATATTCTTCTCTTCCTCTCAACCAAAACCCACGTCACCCCACCCCTGTTAGCCTCGTCAATCATCAACAAAAGTCGTTTGTTGTCGCCGCCAATGTTTTTTGATTTGCAGTCGATTTACTCACCGGAAATCAACTCCATTGCCACCGTTGCCTATTGACACTTTCTCTTCAAAAGCCCTGACATCTCGTCCTTTAATTGTTCGCCAATTATCATCCCAAATTTTAGGGTTTTGGGTGAATAGAAAAAATATAAACCTGACCAGATGAAGCTTTTGGGTCTCGGTTAAACTGGCCAAGCTGAGCTGGGTTTTAAAACATTGGTTTTGATGAATAGTAAAATTGATAACCTGCCTCAGTTAAGGCCTTGGGCTTCGGTTCAACCGACTAGGTTTTAAAACATTGATAAAATGTTTTATAAAACAAATGGATCAAGTCATTTGTACTTTATCCAATATCTCATTCAATCATTTATGCACTTTTTTGTTTGTTTGTTTGTTTAATATCTAGATGGTAGGCTTATCGTATTAACAAAGACTTTCTCCTCTACCTAATTTAGATCATATTAAATGTTTCTGATCGCTTAGGACCTAGACTTAGGTGCCCTACCACAATGCGGTCACTTGGTTCGGAAATTTATTTCTATTATACTCCACAATCAACTTGTATGTATAATATTATTCTCGAAGATTTTCTCTTCTAATGATGTTTAAATTCCGATATCTTAGGATCTAAATTTAGTTGCCTTTTAAAATGGTGGTTTGGTCATGACTTTTCGATCTTTAAATTAATTTATACATGTGATGTGTTTTTTTTAACTTGAAAATAGAAATCTTAAAGAAGAAGCAAGCTTGCATTATTTATTCATTTTTTTTTACTTAAAGAATTGAAATGTCACAACTCTTAAAAGTGCTTTTTAGCTGCTTCTAGTAAAAGCACAATTCCTAGTATATCCTCTTAGATGTCTTGTGTGGAAGCTTATCCAATTGACTTTAAGTCACCCTTCTCAAGTAGAATTCATGCCCACCACAACTAATACTACACACTTCCTCTTCATTTCAGCCAAACACAGCCTTTTCAATGCCTTTCTACTCAAACATGGGGTCAAAACAGGAATTGCAGTGTATAAATCAAGGGTAGTATTGTCCTAAATGTGTAGATTGTAACAAATAACAAAAAATAGCATGCAGAGTATAAATTCTCAATTGACAGTTAGGTGTAACGACCACATTCGCGTCAAAGACACGTGGCAATAAAAAAATATGTCACGATCATTATAAATATTTGTTAGGACCTTTTAGGTTGTATTATTTTCATTTTGGTCCACATCTTTTTGTTTTGTTTGTAAATCTTTCATTCTTTCACGTAATTGATTCTACCCCTGCTTCATAATTATTTTTCTCTTTAAGCTTTTAAGGGGAAAATAAGAAGCATCTTTAAAACTCTAGGCAATAATTTTCTTTGCATGATTATAAGCATAAATAAAAAAATTAAAATTAAAATATTACGGGAAAAAAAAATCATATTAAATGACCTTCTAGATTATTGTTTACATGGTTTAATTAAAGTTTAACATAAATCTATTAAATAGATAAGTCAAAAAGTTATTGATAAAAGTCCTGAAAGAGTTTTGAAATTGAAATGTATTTAATTTGATGTGATGTACACTCGGATAAGGGGACTAATTTGATGAATTTGAGAATATTTGTCCACAAAAATTTCTCTATTTATTGTAATAAAAAAGAAATTTTTTTTTTTTTTAATAATCGGGATCTTCTAGTCACCTTGCGCTCATTTTAATTAATCTTAGAGACTTATTGAACATCTTAGAAGCCCAATGTTTTAAAGTAAGCTATAAATGTGATAGGTGATCTCAAAAGTGGTTCGAACCTAGAAAATCAATGAAGGGAATAACCCTTCTTGACCGTTTAACCAACCTCTTAGGGTTAAAAAAAAAATTTCAAACTTGAATAATAACAATTAAAAAGATGTTTTTTAATATAATGAAATTTGTATTTATAAACTCTCAAACATTTCTTATTTATTAACAAAAAATATTTATCAAAAGTGAATAAATTTGTTTATGAAAAGTGAGTAGAATTTATCCTAAAAAAGATGGGACAAAGGGAGAATACTAAAGTTGAGAGGCTGAATTGAAATTTAGTCTTCTTCTTCAGAACACTCTTTTAACTCTCTCAGACTCGCACTCAGTGACCAGCAGCCTAATCTCGCAACTTTCCAGAATATTATAGGCAAGACCCGACCCGGTTCAGAATCCGAATTCAAGTCAGTTGGTTCAAGCCATGTTCGGAGACTTCTGCTTCTGCCCGTGTTTCGGAAACCGGAGCTCCGACAATGCTACATCCGACGAACTCGACCCGGTTCTGCTGGTTTCGGGTATAGGAGGCTCCATTCTCCATGCAAAGAGGAAAAAAAAGGGGCTTCAGACCCGGGTTTGGGTTCGGATTTTGCTGGCGGATTTGGAGTTCAAGAAGAAGCTTTGGTCTCTTTACAATCCAAATACAGGTTACATGTGAATGCATACATGAAGTTTCTTCTCTTCTTTATTTTTTTTTCGGGTGTTGTGTTTGCTTAGCTAGAAAGTGGAGGAAAGATTGCTATAGAGAGGGAAAAGTAGTGGGTTTAGTTCAAAAATTGATTTTTTCTGTGAAAATTTTGTGCTTTGCATTTGATGAAAGTCAACTTCTTGTTGAAGTAGTGTAGCAAAAGAAAATATGGAATTTCTTTTTCTTTTTCTTCTTTTTTAATTATTTGATTTCAGTTTGTGTTAAGTTTTTAAAGCTAGTAAATGAAGTTTATGAGCACTATGGTACATTGGTACGGTCTGGTA